GAATCCCATTCAACGGGCTTGTTTGTCTCCTGAGAAAGCAGACATGTTAATTTTTCTAAAGAAAAACCGCTAAGTACAAAGGTCCTCACAATGTAACGGTGAATATTAGACACTGACTTGTTTGCAACTGTTCTTCTTCACTGAACATTTTCTTTTTATGTAAGAGGAAAAATGTAAGTGGAAAAAACCAGAGCTTAAAATAAAACTCAAGATTTGTACTTTATTATGTTGTGTAATTTTCTTTTTCTTAGAATTGATATTATAAAACTGGTATCAAAAAAAGTATCGTTCATGAACCCTTTATTGAAGTGAAGGTATCGGTATTGGTACCGGCACCGAAAATTTTTTAACAATACCCAGCCCTAGTCCCTCCTCATTTATTTCCATTCTTAGTAAAATGTGTGTGAAGCCTGGAGGTAAATCCAGCTTATAGCAGCAGAACAAAAAAAATTTGAAAATATCACCAATTATATTTTAATTTGACAAAAATAAGTGTGATAAAAGTGTGACATTAAAATACGTCTTGATGCTGCTGTTTTCTAACGGTGAACCTTGTATTTTATTTTATTTTACCCCTCTTAGCACATCCTCCTCAATCAATATGGTGGAAAATTAATAATAAAGCCTCTTCCAGTTGAACTATTGCTCTGATTCTGGATGTTTGGGCATTACTTACTTGAATAAAATGATTTTCCATTTTAAAAACTAATAGAAATGAGCGTCCATGTCAGGTTATATTTGAACAGGCGCTTCCCTGAGAAGCACAATGTAATGGTTTAGTGAAAGCCGCTAGTTTGGAAGGAAAACATTCATTAAAAATGTTTCAGATTTATTTATTCCGAAGGGATTGTGGAGAGAATCACATTTTTTGCCATTGGTTGTTTTGTAAAAAAAAATATTTTCTAACACAGACCCCCCACCACCTCACCCCCATCCACAGCCAACACACACCAGATAATTATATTGAAATTAAACCTTGCCTTTCAAAGCTTTGCAAGATTCTGCTTATATAATAAAGCAAAAAAAAAGCTCCCTGAGAGCTTTTTGCACGTTTTTTGAAGGCGAGCCAATGAGCAGAACTGTAAACACTTTGAATTTTAAAACCTTTTAAAAACAGCAAAATAAATTAAAAAACACAGGACAATGTATTATTTCACATTTTTATAATCACATAAACCCAGGTTTAAAATTCTTTAAGAAAGGTAGGTAAGTAACTTTACATACATTTTTCAATATGTAATTACCACAATCTATGAAGATATTTCTGTTTAATTATAATATAAATACAAGCACTAACATTTTCAGGTTAAGGAGCCAAAGAGTGAAAGGGTCTAACCCCCTCTAGTTTTTAGCCAATTAGAGCCCTGTAGGTGAGAAGAACTACGGGACAAGGTTGCTTTCAAGGGTAATTTTACATTTAATCACAGCGTATGAGTTAATGAAAAGTGTTCACTATTTGCCATAGTCCATGCACTGCCTCAGATAGGAGCATTTCAAATGATCAAGGCTTCACTGTCCTCATTAACAAGTCCGAGTGCCCCTGGTGCTCCCTGCGCTCTTCAGCTAAACTGGTTCATATTTTAGAATAAGTCCCACTTGAGCTCTATTCTTATATTTCTTCATTCCCTTGCCTCCTTTACAAATTATCATCTTGTTAACTTCCACACTCATCTTTAACAAGTTCTCCTAGGCATCATGAGGCCGTTGGCTGCTCAATTACACCCAGCAGACAGAGGTAGTAAATGAAAATACACACCTTGCACCTCTTCAGCCTTTATATGAGCTTTTCTTTTGTTCGCCCTGCTGCTCTAAGTGGTGTCTCTCATCTCCTTCCATGTATTCAGATGAAATTTTGAGCCTCATCATAAATCTGATCTCCTCACACCTCAATTACAAATTGTGCTAAATAAAGACCACTGCACATATAAAGACCACTGAACATAAAAGGACAACTGCAGATATAAAGACCACTGCATATAAAAGGACCACTGCACATAAAAGGACCACTGCAGATATAAAGACCACTGCACATGAAAGGACCACTGCACATAAAAGGACCACTGCACATAAAAGGACCACTGCAGATATAAAGACCACGGAACATAAA